TAGCCACGCCCTATTATACAATATCAACCAATAAGATTGTAGGGATAAGGTCCTATCACAATAGTTCTCGCTCAGGGAACTTGATGGTATGCGATTGGTCGGCTCTTCCCGGGCCACCAATAGGGATTGTAAGATTAGGATCCTTGCCCAGGATGGAGCTTAGCATGGTGCATCAATTAGGTGATTCACATGCATACAACTGAATACACCACACTCCTTTCCCTTCCCCTCCCCACAACAGACACCCTGTTCTCTCAGGAGCAGTTTCTGTCAAGAGCTCTCTCAGCCCCCCCTACCTCACAGGGTGTCTGTTGTGGGGAGAGGAAGGGAAAGGAGTTTGTAAGCTGCTCTGAGACTCCTTTGGGTAGTGAAGGGCAGGGTATAAATCCAATCTCTTCCTCTTCTCCTTCATCGCAGAGCCTTGCCTGGAAAGATTCTCCCCTGCCGTATTGCATTTTTCCATGGGAGTCTCCGCTGTCTTTCCCCCACACTTATGTTGGGACTCTAACGTGAAACAAGCCCTGAGCTGGATGGCCCAGGCTAGCCCCATCTCGTCACATCTCAAAAGCAAAGCAGGGTCAGCCTTGGTTAGTACTTGGATGGGAGACCACCAAGGACGTCCAGGGTCACTATGCATAGGCAGGCCATGGCCAACCACCTCTGAACGTCTCCTGCCTGGAAAACCCTACAGGGTGGCCATGAATCGGCTGTGACTTGGCGGCATTTGACACACACACACACACACACACTGAAAACAAAAGCTGTTTCGAAATATCTAGGAATCGAAGGCAATCTGTAAAACGCAACGGTGCAGCAGCCCGAGTCGTCTGCAGTCAGAAGCGACTTCCAAATGCTCCCCGGGGGCAAGCCAGCACGGGAAATAAGTCCAGGAACCCAAGCAGGGCACAGCGACCCCGTGATAATCTGTCTGTGTTTCCCGACGCCAAGAGGATTAAAGCACCTCGTGCTTCTCAGAGGGGTCATATGATGCCCCCCCTGATTCTTGCAGGCAAAAGAGAGCAAAAAGAAGTTCACTTCCTAAGGAAGGAAGGATACCGTTCGGGGCTCCCCAGTTGTTGTTTTTTCGAGAGGCGCAGCCCTTTGGAGATCAACGTGTATTTTTTGACGAGCCTATCAGTCCAATCCTAAACAGAGTTAATACATCTTCTCAGTACTTTGGATTTAGGGTAGCCAGGATCCCCCTGGCCAGTGGCCACCAGCAGGGGGTGAGGGGGTAGGGTTGCCAGCTCCAGATTGGGAAACTCCTGGAGATTTGGAGGGGGGGAGCTGGTGAGGACATGGACCTCAGTGGGGTACAGTGCCATAGACCCCGCCCTCCAGAGCACCAGGCTTTGGGGGTTTTTTAGAATAAAATTTTTATTTTAAAGACAAAACCAAAACAAACAAGAGGGGAAATTATTCTTACAGTTCCTTGTTTAACAAACTCATGCCTAATTACTCATATATTTATACAGGGCTTTTTTGTAGAAAAAGCCTAGCAGGAACTCATTAGCATAATAGGCCACACCTAACAGCTGAAACTCATTAGCATATTAGGCCACACCCCCATGTTACCAGAAGTGTGGTCATCCAGCCACACCCACCTTTTGCTCCTTATTCTGTTTACCTTGTTTGTTGTCAAAACCCAGGGCCTTTTTTTGTAGCAGGGACTCCTTTGCATGTTAGGCCACACACCCCTAATGTAGCCAATCCTAATGAGTTTCTGCTGTTGGGTGTGGCCTGTTATGCTAATGAGTTCCTGCTGGGCGTGGCCAACTTGGGAGCCAGCCGGAACTCCGTTCCTGTGCGTTCCGGCCCAAAAATAGCCCTGTATTTATATATTTCACCTTGTATCATTATGTATATCGCTTGCGAGTGTATTAAAATTGTACTTTATATATCCTTAACCAATTTAAAATGTCTTTGAAAGGACAACCAGAGTCCACATTTGGAAATACATGGTCAAGATTTTATAAGTGGTTCGAAGACTACAATCAGAGCATCAGGTTTTTAAACAGGGGAACTCAACTCTGTAGTCTGGAAGGAGGAGAGATTGGATTTATACCCCGCCCTTCACTCGGAGTCTCAGAGTGGTTTACTCTGTCCTCCCCCCACACACAACAGACAACCTGTGGGGTAGGTGGGGTTGAGAGAGCTCTTTCGAGAACTGCTCCTGAGAGAACCGCTGTGAGAGAACTTGTGACTGACCCAAGGTCACGCCAGCAGCTGCATGTGGAGGAGCAAGGAATCAAACCCGGTTCTCCCAGATTAGAGTGCATGCACTTAACCACTACACCACACTGGCTCTCACCAATCTCTGTAGTCTGGAGATGAGTTGTAATTCTGGGGGATTTCCAGGTCCAACCTGGAGGCGGGCATCCCTAATTGAATCCAGTGAGCACAAAAGGGGGTAACTCCGCTTAAGAGGGCACTGTATAAGTTGTAAGGACACAGGCTGTTTTTTAGAAAACCAGATATGGGATTGGGATTGGGATGGGACTGTCAACCTGGAAGGCGCTGACTCTGTGTGTCCCATGCACTGTTCGAAAACCACTACGGTTACTGTTCAGGACTCAATGACTCTTGGTTCATTGTATTAATCAACTTTACAGACAAGACAACTGTTGTGTCCAAGTTTATGTGAAACTTCTATCTGGGAGGATGGGTGTGTGATAAGCAAGCGCTGGGGTTGCCAGCCTCCAGGTGATCTCCTGGAGTTAACACTCACCACCAGAATACAGAGATTGGTCCCACTGGAGAAAATGGCTGCCGTGGAAGGTGGACTCTGCGGCATTATACCCTTCGCTTCCTCAAGCCCTGCCCCCCCACAGGATTAACCCCCCCCAAAAAAACCCTTCCAACTCTGTGATTCTATGATTCTATTCTCCACATGCAGCTACTGGTGTGACCTTGGGTCAGTCACAAGTTCTCTCAGAGCTGTTCTCTCAGGAGCAGTTCTTGAAAGAGCTCTCTCAGCCCCACCCTCCTCAGGGAAGGAAAAGGAGATTGTAAGCCGCTCTGAGACTCTGTCGGGTAGTGAAGGGTGGGGTATAAATCCAATCTCCTCCTCCTCCTGTTCTGCTTCTTTGACAGACCTTGCATGGAATTGGATCTTTGTTGATTAATTAAGATATTTATTAAGATTTTTACTTTAATGTCTTATTAATTAAAATATTTGGGTGCTGCATTTTCCCTGTGGCTCAACTCACAAATTCAAACATGTAAACCGTGCTGCATAGTGGTTAGAGTGTGGGACTCGGGCCTTGGGCGAACCAGGTTCAAATCCTCCCACTGCCACGGAAGCTTGCCGGGTGACCTCGGGCCAGTCCCCTCCTCACACCCTAATCTAAGCCACTTTGGTTCCGTCCTGAGAGAAGTGGGGTATAAATGAAGTCAGCAATGTAAATAAAATGCAATGGAACTGCCAACAGCTCCCCGCCCTTTAAAATGCATCCAGCTGACGAAGGTGGATATCCATGCAAATAAATAGTAGTAACACTTTGGACTCACTTGGTTGAAACCTGAAATTGAGTTTCAAAGGCAACTCCAGAGAACTGAAAGGTCCGCACAGAGCCAGTTCTAGACTTTGGGGGGGCTTAGGCAGAGGGTTCCCAGGGGCTCCCTTCACACCTGCTCACCCATGTATCTCACTTCCTGCCTGGGCACCCTTCCCTTGCCCCACTCACAAGCTCTCCTGTTGCTAGAGTTGCCAGGTCTCCCACGTTATGATTTTACCATAGAATTTTTTGTAAACCCTAGAGCATCCCCTGACACCATTTCCAGTTTTTTACTGGAAGTGATGTTAGCTTGCCAGGGTGACACCAGCACACCAGTTCCCAACCCCCTAATTACACCCTAATTACCCGGCCACAGCTGGCAGCCCATGCTCGTAGCCATCTGCACCGCCCATTCCATGATGGCACTGGGCAGTGTGCGCAGCTGGGACCGGGGGCTGGGGGCTGGGCATTCACAAGTGAAGAAGAAGAAGAGATTGGATTTATACCCCGCCCTTCACTACCCAAAGGTGTCTCAGAGCGGCTTACAAACTCCTTTCCCTTCCCCTCCCCCCACAACAGACACCCTGTGAGGTAGGTGGGGCTGAGAGAGCTCTGACAGAAACTGCTCATTTTTTTCAGGAACAGCTCTTATCAGAACTACGGCTTGCCTAAGGTCATCCAGCAGGTGCAAGTGGAGGAGTGGGGAGTCAAACCCAGTTCTCCCAGATTAGAGTCCACGCACTTAACCACTACACCAAAGTGAGCAGGCTGGGAAAGGGCAGGTTGGGGGGCCAGCAGGAGTGGGCCCTGACAGAAGCCCTGGGCTCCAGCATCTGCTCAACCCGAGGGAATGCTAACACCAGCCCGGGGCCTGCGTTTAATTTCCACTCCTTTGACCTTGAGTTAACAGAATGATTTTATGCATGTGCCTCTCTGGAACTTGCGTGAAATTATCTCTTCCTTCAGACCAAGATTCTTTCGCAGTCTCCAGTTCGGTTGCGTTCTTTTCCCTTCGCAGAGTAGGATGCCGTGTCACTTGGATTTCTGTTTTATTTTCTTCTGCCCCTGCTCACCCGTCAGTCCTTATTCATCCCCGAGGTAAACCCGACGAGCCCTCCTCCAAACCGTTCAAGCTTCCCGTACGCAACCAGGCATGACACCCGTCAGAATCGGCGCATCGAAAGCGATCATGTGCTAGGCAGAAGATGAGAGCTTTATAATAAGACTCTGTGTCTGAAGCCAAGGGGAGAAAGCGAACAAAAGCGACTTGGATCTAACCCAGAACATGTGATAATCAGATTAACAGAAAAAGTCTGTGTGTGCACGGATGGGAAACGGCAGGGAAACCGGCTGATGATCAGGAAAAAAAAACTATGTAGGGAGAACTTTCCCACCGCATGAAGGGAAAGTCTCTCCATCTCAGGACTGTGATAACGGATCACGGTTTCTTCATAGCCAATCGGCCAATGTGCTGTATTGAGGAACTCCTGCTGTGGAAAGAGGATGTCTTTCTTTTTCATCGGGGTCTTACTTGGCGTTCTCCCTCTTGGCTCGAGCCAGTTCCCTCGGGCATGCGCCAATTCAGAAAGCCTGTTGAAGAAGGAGTGCTGCCCGGTTTGGCCTGGAGACGGGTCCCCCTGTGGACAGCTGTCCGGTAGAGGATCCTGCCGAGATATCCTCCTTTCGAACGCCCCTCTCGGTCCTCAGTACCCCTTCTCGGGAGTGGATGACCGGGAAGACTGGCCTTCCGTGTTCTACAACAGGACGTGCCAATGTTCAGGTAACTTTATGGGATTCCATTGCGGGGACTGCAAGTTCAACTTTGTGGGCCCGAACTGCACCGAGCGGAGGCTGCGGATCAGGAAGGACATCTTCCGGATCAGTGCCGGGGAGAAGAATCAGTTCCTCGCCTACCTCAATTTGGCCAAGCACACCACGAGCCGGGACTTTGTCATTGCCGTCGGGACCTATGCCCAGATGAATAACGGCTCGAACCCAATGTTCCAGGACATCAACCTGTACGACCTCTTTGTCTGGATGCACTACTATGTGTCTCGGGACACCCTCCTGGGGGGCACCAGTGTATGGCGGGACATTGACTTTGCCCACGAGGCGCCAGGTTTCCTTCCTTGGCATCGACTCTTCTTGCTCATGTGGGAAAACGAGATCCAGAAGCTTACGGGGAATGCGAATTTCACCATTCCCTACTGGGACTGGAGAGATGCCGAGACTTGTACCGTCTGCACAGACGAACTCATGGGAGGCAGGCACCCCAACAATCCAGACATCCTCAGCCCGGGCTCTTTCTTCTCCTCGTGGCAGGTAAGCACACCTGAGCGTGGGGGTGAGGAAGAAAATTATCCGCAGCGACATTTAGCTTTGGGTTTTACACAGGAAGCTGTCTTGTACTGAATTAGACTATTGATTCATTAAGACCAGTAGAGTCCACTCCAGGTGCCACCAACGTGGTGCCTGGGGGCACCATGGCAGTAGCCAACATCTTCTTCTGGTGACTGCTAAATGTTCTTAGAAAGTGGGTGGGCCCAGATGGAGCTTTTGCCCAGCAAGGCTTTGGATCGGCTGTGCAGATTTAAAAGGGCAGCAGCTGTCACCACAGCACAAGGAGTTTCACTGTGTGACTGAAAGTAGAAGCTGGGGCAGCCATTATGTAGCCAGCTCCACCTTCTGCAGTAGGGTTGCCAGGTCTTACCTGTCTGCTGGTGGGGACGATCCTGGCTTCCTCCCTGGGTCTTGCTCCCCAGATCACCCGGAAGTGACATCATCGCACTGGGCATGTTGTACAGGGGACGCTCTGGCATTCCCCTAAAAACTATGGTCACCATAGAGTTCTTAACTGAATGCTAGAGTGTCCCCCACATGGCAGGGATGGCGCGATTATGTCACCTCCAGGTGATGTCATCACACCAGACACATCAGGAACTGTGGGGCTGTTTGGGGGCAGGGCTTACCCCGTCAGCCAGCTGGCTGGAGGAGAATTGGGGGCCCTGAAATTGTGGAAAACCGGGCCCCCATCGGGGGGTTGGCAACCCTACACTGCAGCAGCCATTTTATGGCAGCCATCTTGTAGCTGTGCCTACCATGCTGTACCAGAATTCCAAAGGGGTCCACAGGCTCAAAAAGGTTGGGGCCCCCCCCCCCCCGGTCTACTCCGACTAGGTATCCGACAAAGGGAGCTTTGACTTTCAAAAGTTTATACCCTGGGAAGTCTGGTTGGTCGCTAAGGTGCTACTGGATTCAGATCTCGCTCTCCGACTGGCAGTGGCTCTCCAAGTTCTCAGGTGGAGGTCTTTCACATCACCCACCACTTGATCATTTTAACAGGAGGTGCTGGGGAGTGAACCTGGCACTTCCTGCACCCCAAGCCGATGCTCTATCGCTAAGTCACAGCCCCTCCCCCTTTGGCTTTTGATTGGCTTTGGGCTAGTGTGGAATAGAAGGCAGAACCACACCATGTTGGGAAGCCCGTGCTTGAGCGGGGGTGCCAGGAATAAGTTTGATTTGTCAAACCAGATCCCTGTATATTTGCTGCTGTGGGCAATCAGATTTCCCCCCAAATAAAAACAAAATAAAAGTCCTCAATTACTATCACTGGGGAGGTATTCTGAAATTGGGAAAACCTTTCCTTGTTCCCAGATAGACCTCTGCCTCAACACATTGTTTTAATGCATGGGCATTGGGCAGGATCATATGGACGCATCAAATACCCGGGTCTCAGAGCATTTTGGGCTTCCAGTGTACAAATCAGCCTATGAATGGGGTCCTTCCTTCCTTCCTTCCTTCCTTCCTTCCTTCCTTCCTTCCTTCCTTCCTTCCTTCCTTCCTTCCCTACTCCTCCGACCTACAGGTTTTGAGTAGTCTCATTCAATCCAAACTAGGAATAAGAGAAAGAAAGGAAGCATGCAAGCCAGAGGGGACAGGCTATATCATATTGGAGAAGCAGTCTTGTCATTCTCCCATACTCCCATGACCGGAACAAGAAATTTTGCTAACAAAAAAATATTTGCTGGCCTAGAATCCATTAAAGATTTAGTAACCAAAATATCTAGGGGAAGCTCATTTTGCTGGCATGTAAGTGGTTCGATCCATTTCTCTGATGAAATTCCCAAAATAGTGACTTCCTTACCATCTCAAAGACAACCAAAAAACCAATTCATGGAATTACAAGCTGCTACTAAGAGGAAATATAGATGGTTGTTTTCAGAAGACAATTTTTACACTTATAAAGGGAAACAACACAGAATTAAGACTTTAAAACTTAAGATCAGAAAATCAAGAAAAAGTTAATATCTACAAAAATTCTGGGGAAAAGATGAAGGAACTCCCTCTATTTTAGGACTACATCATTTATCTATTGAGGGAGTCCCAGACACTTTTGAGGGAGTAAGATCCCAATGTATTCAGAATAAAGAGTTATACATTTTACAACAGAATTCAAAATTTAATAGCATGTTTAGGGAACTTTTATATTAGTAGAAAATAAGAAATTGTATATTCATATATTTGCAAACTCTATATGATTAATTTATGCTGGAAACATGAGATAGATTTAATGACCGTGTGAGGTACTGAAATAGAGAAAAGATCAATATGCATTACTGTATCCCCAATTATATGTTTGTTTGTTTTGGAAAAATAATAATGTTATCTAAAAAAAAAAAAGATCCATTTCTCTCCAGCCACTTCATACCACAAACATTCAAACAGGACATGTTTCACAGTTTGCAAGATCCCTAACCCATATGGTTGCCAGCCTCCAGGTGGTGGCTGGAGATCTCATGAGATTACAATATCTCCAGGTGGCACCTGGAGAAAATGAATGTTATGGAAGATGGACTCCGTGGCATTATGCCCCATTGAAGTCCCTCCCCTCCCCAAACTCTGCCTTCCTCATGCTACACCCCCAAAATCTCCAGGAATCTCCCAACTCAGAGTTGGCAATGCTACTAATCCACAACCGCAATGTCTATCTGAAACCGTTATACCTAACACACAGCGGTCAGAGATCGCGGACAATTATTGCAAGCATAATTGCTCACCTGTATCTTGGAATTGTAACGTTAAATGAGTATTTGGGGATTGTAAAGAGCAGTGGAATTCCCATACGAAGAGTAGAGCAACCGCACCTAGCACGGCAGATGGTACTACTGATATGTGAACAGGGTCCAAAAACTAAAAAGCAGCAAGTATAGATCTCTAAGCCTTAATGAAATATGACTAAATGCAGGGCTATTTTTGGGCAGGAACGCACAGGAATGGAGTTCCGGATGGCTCCCAAGTTGGCCATGCCCAGCAGGAACTCATTAGCATAATAGGCCACACCTAACAGCAGAAACTCATTAGGATTGGCTACATTAGGGATGTGTGGCCTAACATGCAAAGGAGTTCCTGCTACAAAAAAAGGCCCTGGGTTTTGACAACAAACAAGGTAAACAGAATAAGAAGCAAAAGGTGGGTGTGGCTGGATGACCATACTTCTGGTAATGTGGGGGTGTGGCCTAATATGCTAATGAGCGGTGCTGTCAGGGGTGTGGCTGGATATGCTAATGAGTTTCTGTCATTGGGTGTGGCCTATTATGCTAATGAGTTCCTGCTGGGCTTTTCCTACAAAAAAAGCCCTGACTACATACATGGGATCTAATTAATATCATCTCAAGGGATGTCGCCAGGAGATGGGGAGGTAGGGTTGCTAGCTCCAGGTGGAAAAACCCCTCCTGACAATTTGGGGATGGAGCCTGGGGAAAACAGAGACCCCAGTGGGGTACGGTGCTATAGAGCCCAAACCTCCAAAGCAGCCATTTTCTCCAGGGGAACTGATCTCCTGAGTCTGGAGATGAGCTTTAATTTCAGGGAGTCCTCAGGCCTCACCTGGAGGCTGGCACCCCTAATTTCCAGTCTGACAGAAATTGGACCTACCTTTACTGGCACGCCTATGGAGTAGTACTTTGCAATATCACTATGTGACATATCGATGTTACATTGGTCCTGGTAAAGCGATTGTCCTTGTATCCTTAGGACCTAAACTGGAAGGTACATATTACTATCTCCAATATCTGTAATTGCTTCTGACACAAGGCCAGATATATTTATGGCTCCACAAACAATTTTGTGTGGGTGTGTCATTCAATTTCAGGTTGGAACATTCCATTTTTGCCCCTATGTCAATTGTTTACTGCCTTCCAAGTGGAACAGGGGCTTTGTTGCATGTTATATTCTGTACTATTTGGCCTCTGAAGAAGGCTCTTGAGGGCCAAAATGCATCCGGTCATATATGGTTCTATTGGGTGCAGTAAATAAGAAGCCTGGAGACTGACTGGCAGTGAAAGGCAGAAAGTTTATAGTGCAATAATGGTGAATATTTACACAGAGAATATACAGACTGTTACACAGCATAACATACCTCAGTTGGAGAGAGCTGTGTCCCCCACCCAACTTATCAAGCTTACAACATATATACAACCTCCATCCAATCACTAACAGGTTAGACTAATTACCTACTCTATGTACAAAGAGTATCACCTGGTAGTTTACCACCTGGATGTAAGATCATTAACCACTTAGCATGACAGCTAAGACTTACATACTAGATCATTCAGATCTAAACTCAGTAACAGCTTTCTACCTTACTACAACCTAGACATACATGGCAATAGGTTCTCCTTTTTGTGCATTGGTCGCTTTATTTTATGAGGCTTTATTTGGGCCCCTACGAGGTTTTTGAAATAAACGCATGTACTTTTGTCCATAATGCTTGGTGTTTTTAACTTCTGGCCCTTTACTAGTTTTCTGAACTTCCTTTGGAGGTTTTTGCTTGGTTGGTTTCGTTTTTCTTCCCCTCTCTTCGGCAGTACATCGCAATACCAGAGTGTAGCCGTGTTAGTCTATCGTAGCAAAATTAGTCCGGCACCATAAGGACTAACATTCATGCCAGCATGAGCATTTGTGAGCCAGAGCATCAGAACCAGTGAGCTCTGATTCACAAGAGCTCATGCTGGAATAAATGTTAGTCTTCAATATATAATTGAAGAGATCTCCATCCACCTTGGGCATTACCAAAAAACAGAACAGGGGTCATGATATGAAATGTCAGCAGGCTAGGAGACCTGGGGGAAATGAAGGGGTGGTTTTTAGAAGCGCTGTCTTATAGTCCTTGTAGGAAGGAAGGAAGGAGCGGCCTGAATAACACAAACTAGCCTGATCTTGTCAGATCTCAGAAGTTAAGCAGGGTTGGTCACAGTCAGTATCTGGATGGGAGACTACCATTGAAGACTGGGGTTGCTATACAGAGGCAGGCAATGGCAAAC